AAAAAATCTGAAAAAATCTGCCCTCCACAAAATCCTCAAGTATCCACTTTACCCTCTTCATGGAACTGCATTCCATGATATGTTTAGGAGCTATAGGAGAGCTCACTAAGGTATCTCTGATTTATTTTTTTTAAGGCATTCAGGATTTTTTTCACAGTAAATAAAACTTGATTTGTAGATTAGATAAAAATGATTGCTATGTGAAACATGTACAGTTTACCAACTGGTGCTGCTAATTGATGTAATTATCACTAATTAAATGTTCTAAAGATAGCGATTCTTGTAATGCTTTTTCAATGGGTCAAAGTGGCTTATGAAGCTGATCAACACAGAGCAGTTCTAGAATTGTGTGTTAAGACTAAATTTAGTGCAACAGAAGATATTTTCCTAATGTATTTATCCTGGAACAAAACCAATATCACACTTAGCTCACCAGGTCTCTTGATGAATGAGTGCACAGTAGGAGATTTGCTTTTAGTGAATATTCAACCTAAAAAATAGTTATATTCCCACTTTCATGCTAGAAAAGCCTGAGTGCTTATATACTAATGGAGAAAATAATTGCAGAGGGTCACGAATGTGATTGAATAAAGAAAGAACTTGTTCAGATTTTCTCAGAAAACATGTTGTGCTTGTTCTTGTCTTTCAGTTAATAGATCTGCTTTTTCAAAGGCAATTTGGTACATCCTGTCAGCACACAAATACCTCTTCAGAGTCTGCTGCACAAGTGGCATTTAGGCTGACTAAAATTTATGTTTTGTGTTCTTTTGTTGTGGAGGAGGTAATTCCTCTGATTTGATAACTTGTTATGCCACAGTTGGGAGTGATTAATATTGATTACAAATATTTAGTATTTGCAAATGGTGACTGAAAGGCACTTCCCTAAAGTGGTGCATAGCGACGGTTCTCAGTGAAATAATTGCTGAGGTGAAAATATAGTTATTAAGATGAGTCAATCATAATGACCTTAAATAGCTGATTTCCCAGTTTTCAGTTGTCTGTTCAGTACTTCAGCTGGGGCACCTCTCAAGAGATGAGTGCAAGAAGGTTGTATTTCTGGGGTTTTTTCAAAGGAAATTAGGAAGTCCTCGTGTTCTCAGAAACCATTTTTGAGATGGTCACTTCGTAGCAGAGTTCAGGGGCACTTGTGGGACTTGTGAGGGGGAATTTCTAAGGGATTTCAGCTCTATCTGACATAGATGAACTATTCTGCAGGCTTCTGTCTGTGAGAGCTTCAGAAAGTATACGTTGGGCATTTTGGTCCTCTGCTGAGATTTTAAATTATCTTGTTGATGAATACTTGCAATGACAGTTACCATATTTGACTGCAGTCTTTCCCTTACTCTAGAATTAGCTCTAAGTCAGAATTCCTCTGTCTATACGGTTCTGCAACATCTTTGCAACCTTCATTTTGAGTAAAAGTATTAATGGCAGCAACAAAACATCTTCTTACTTGTTACTTTCATGAAAGCTCTTGGATTACAGTTTAATTCCTTGTTCTCAGAATGCTGACCAGAGGCGTCATAGAAGTATTATGCATATTATTTTATCCCTGTATATTTTGAATACAAGCTGTATCAGAGATATTAAGTGGTGTTTTAACCATAATGGTCTATTAAATTTGTGCCTTTTAGAGTGTAAATTATTTCCATAATGGAGGGTGATTGCTCTGTTTTGTCAATCCCTCATCAATTCATGGACCCCGCAGGGTGTATGTGCAACCTCGTGTTTGAGGGATTATATATGCAACCCCCATCATTGTTTGTTCTTCAATAAACAGCCTCTAATGACTAAAGCTGTGTGTGAGCTGTTATTTAACAGCTAAAAAATTTGCCAGAACTGTTATTGCCCTTCTAGCAGAGAGCTTATTATTTGTGAATGCTCAGAGGGAACTTGAATCAGATTATTAACTCCTTTGCAATCAGTTTTCCTTCCATGTTAATTGTGCTGCTAAATCCTAGGATATTGTGTTTAAAAATAACTCAAAAGTCAGTGTCACATCACAGACACATTTTTATGTTTAAAAGAACAGATGTCTAAGTTGTGGGCACAACCGGCCTGTAACAACTCAGAGTTTTGTTGCAAATTGTGTGTTTACATGCACAGGAGGGATGCTTGTGATGTTTGTACACACACATCTCAGAACTACCTCCCTTCATACCTTCTCCTTGCCACCTCTAATATATAATCATTGTGTATCATGGCAGGAGGTCCTAGGAATTATTGGCAGGTATTTGATGTATAAGACAAGCCTTTACAACATGACAAAACGTCCTGCTTGGTGCCTCTGAGTAATTTTTTTAAAAAAATTCAGGTTGTAGAATTTTACGAATGGAAAAATATTAGTCTTGTTCTTCCACCACAGATGTGCACACGTAGCTCTGCCTAAGATGTTTGGTATATGGATTAAATATTAGCTACCTTTTGTTCCCAGACTGTACAAGCAGCTTGTAAATTATGGAGTGAAAATGAGGGGCTGTAACTACCTAGTAATAAGTAATGCCTATGCATCCTGGACTTTAGCACTAAAAATGGTGCTGATTTAACAAGTCATCAGCATTTCTGAGCTTGCAACAAGAGGTGTAGGGGCAGAGCTGGGCTTTTTGCCTTTGAGGTGTGTACGAGTCTTTCTCTCCCAGGTAGCAGTGTCTTTGTTGAAGTGAATGCCAATGGTAGTTTTGTATCTCAATAAAATGATGGTACCAGGTTACAGATAAGACCTTTCACCCTGCAGAATTCTTAGTTGCTTTTCTAAACCCCATAGTTCTTTAATCCTGCAAATACAATTATATTGACAGAAAATTGTGGTAAGGAGGAGTTTTAAGTCAAGGTTAAGGGAACAGAGAAGTGCTGTGAGTTCCCTACTGTCCACAGGAACATCTGTGCAGTCTTAAATGAGAGGCTGGCTTTGTGGTGTCAGAAATCGAGAGACCTTTTCTTTGTTGTGGCACTCACCCAGGGCAGCCAGCAAAGAGTTTTTATTCTTGTCTGCGATTCTCACACCAGAAGTAAAGATAATAATGCTCCTTATTGTGCCCCATCTATTTGCAGAACAAGTTCTGTGGAGTGCAGGAGGTCTTTTTTTAAGTCCAGGTCTATGCTGCAAAGTTGTGCTGGTGGCACTGCATGAGAGCTGAGGTTATGAAAAATTAATCCTCCCTCACAGAAATCATGTTGTTAAAGTTCTTTCTGGCAAGGATGCTAACCTCCTGTCTCTCCATCCTAGTTCTGCTATGGAAATGAATGTTCATTTGCAAACATGAAGGAAAACCATTAGCATTCCTTCAAATCAAAATATAATCACATCTTCCTGATTTCAAAGCCCTTCCCACTCGCCAAACCTCATTAATTATCCCAGACAGGTGTTTTTGAACAAAAGCTCTTTCTTGCGTTCTCTCTTCTTCTCCAGCCTCCTACTTGAGCTAATGAAGCTTCAGTGATGTTTGTGGAACAATGGAGCAATTTATGTAACTGCAGGTTGGAGAGAACAAATAAGGAATGGTAATTGAGGAGGGGCTGGAGGAGAGGCTGCGGGAGCAAAGTTCCTCTGTCTGTGTAAAGAGATCTCTCATTATTGGTGATTGGGGAGGAAGCATTACAGAGCCAAAAAGAAAGTGGCTGTGCTGATAAAAAATGTTCTTTGATAGTTTATTGATATGCAGATGCTGCTCTATGAAAGGACCGCAGACCTTGTTACGTCCTCGAGTTGATGGAGTGTAGGTTTGGGTTCAGAGAGGGGAACTGGCATTGCCTCCACACAGCTCCTGTGGGAAGTTACTGATTTAAAAAACTCCTGGGCACGACTTATAACTGTGTGAATGCGGTTTACTAACACCCTGGGCATAAATTGGATGATTCTCTCTGGAATTAGCTGGGCTTCTTTTCTGTGTGCACTATGGAATTGAAGACTACGTGCTTCACTAAATATTTGATGCGTATTTATAATTACAGCAGGTCTTCTTTCCTGGTTGTTGAAAACAGGTCCTGCCTGCTCAGTTAATGCCTAGACAATAGGAAAGAGGCATTTTTTTTAGCAGGTATGATAATATAAATTATACACAGGTGTTCTACTGGGCTAGTTGACAAGCAGCCCTGCCTTGTCTAGTGGTTATGCATTTTCACAGCTCTCATTTGATTATGTCTAGAAACTCCCTGTCCCTGCCTCTTCCAAATGCATATAGACATTTATATTCTGAACACTAAAAATCAGCAGAATTCAAATACTCTTTTAAGCATGTTTGAATTAGTCATCAGCTACTCTGAAACTTCTCGACCAGCTCAGAACATTTTCAGTATGAAAACCAGGCTCAGGTGTAACCTCATGTCCAGGCATAAGTAGTTATTTTTCATTTTTATTTGGAAAGGCGAGAGCTTTTATTTCAGGAAGGAGTATAAGTATCTTCCCTGCAAAATCCACTAATGAATAAAATTACTTTCAGCCAAGTGTAGATAATTCTGCCCATATGGAGGTCAGAGACCATGAAAATACTGTGCAAAAGGCTCACAATGAAATATGTCCATTTCTTCACTCTTTGGGAAATGAAGGTGTAACAACCAGTATCTTTTTATCAGACTCAACAGTCTAGTAGTCCCACCTCTCCTGATGAACAAAGGAAGAAAACCACAGCTGGAAACTGGTGCCTTGGTCATGTTATAACTCTTTCATTTTTAGGCAGGCCAGTGGGTTTTGTAAGTCACAGGAAGAGTTAGTGTTAATGTAACTCAGAGTTAGTGTTAATGTTAATCTTAGTTGCATGTAACATGCTCTGGAAAACACCCCAAGTTGGAGAGATTGAGTGATGTGCACTCTGCACACCCTCAATGTGCTGTCAGGAACCTGCTAACCAGAGGTGAGAGACACTCAGCTGTTTTGGGAGCTGTTTTTTTGTGAGATTCATAGGCTTTACCTGCCTCCTCTGGCAAATCCATAGAGGTTTTACTTCCAGTTGGATTTTATCATTCCCACCAACTCCTTGTTTACCATAAAATATTCAGCAAGCTTCATATAAAAATACTTTATTATGGTTTTCAGAAGGGAACAGACAGAAGGGAAAGGTATGAGCATCCTGTCAATTCACAGTACATGTATTTCAAAGGGTACATTTTAACCCATGTATAAACAAACTGACAGAAAGTGTCACAAGACTGAAACCTCATATACACAAGACAAGTCATCATTTAAATCTTGACTTCAGATGACAATACTGATCTACTTAACAAATATCACTGGAATACAGTTGGATGGCATTTTCTTTTACTCCTAGCAGCAGCCAAAAAGCAGTTTGCTTGCAACAGCGAGGTGTAATTGGCAATCACAACATCATAAGCTCTTGGGTACTACTTTACAGCATTTGGGCTTCTATTTGTAAATGTAGTTTTCAGACTTATGATCTTGAGCTTCCCCTGTGCAATACTGTTAAATATGAGCATATGCCACAGCAACTAATTACATGCTTGTGTTACCACATCACTGAGCAGTGCCAACAGAGATGGGCAGTGGAAGTCATCTGCTTTTCGGTCATACTCTGTGCCCAAAGAGGTTACAGAACACACAGGCAGGTGTGTGGAAGCATGAGATGGGAAGCAGAGATAAAATGCCCAAGATTTTATGTTAAAACCAAGGCTAGAGCCCCTGGTCTCCTGAATCTGGTGCTCTGTCTGTGGAATTAGTTGACTGCTTTGAAAAACATTGAGAAATAAAAGAATTGATGCTCATGTTGACTGATTATGTTGATCTCCATTCAAGTGATGTATTTTAAAAGGAAGAATGCAAGTGTTCTGAATCTTGCTAAAATTCCCCGCTTCTTGGGGAGTGGAAGGGACATCTATTGCACCCCATGGAAGAGGGATCCAGATTATGGCTGCAGCTGCTGTAGCAAAAAGGATAAACGAGGTGTTTCCTCCGTGTAACATCTTAAGAAAAAACACTCCCAGTTATGGGAAAAATCAGGTCTGCAAACAGCTAAACTGTAATTTAGTGCAATGGTTTAAGGCCAGATATTAATTTGCTAACTTTTATTTTTCAGTGTCCATTTTTCTTTATTTTAGCAAAATGCTGGTGCTGCTCAGCCTGACTAGGTGGCAGCAGAGCTCTTTTGTGGCACCTGCAAGTAGCGGACACGGACTTCACCGTCTGTGGTTAATGTCAAAAAAACAATCCCTATGCTGTGGGATTTTGTTGTTGATGAACTAGAATAAATTAACAGCGGTCTCCCTGCTGCCTTCCTCACCTGCCCCAGACCACTGCGCCCAGCTCCCAGGTTCTTCCAAGGAAGGAAGCTGCATTCCTACACCAATGCTGGAGTATTAAACCAAGACTCTTCTCATCCTCACACAGGGCTGGCTTCACTTTCAGCAGTTCTGAAGGGCATCATGAGGTTGAATCTTCAGCTTCTTGGGACAGAGGAGTTTAATAAAAGCCCTTCTGAAGCTGTAGTGGCAGAGAGGGTATAGGACAGGGTTGATGGCCGAGTTGATCCACAGCAGCCAAAAGGAAGTCTCGTACCAGTACTCAGAGATGCAGTGGCCGTGGCAGCCAGCACGGATGATCATCAGGAGAGTGTATGGTGCCCAGCAAATCCCAAAAATGCCCACGATGATTGCCAGGGATTTGGCCACTTTCTTGTCTCTAGAGAGCCTGAAGCGTTGAGTCATGCTCTGGGACACGATCTTCATCCGTTTCTCTAAGGACGGAGTGGATGCTGAATTTTTACAGCTCTTTTTGTTGCAACACTTGGGTTTCCCAGAGCTCTCCGAGCTTGTTGTCAGCAGGTCTTTGGCACCCAGGCTAGAAGAGGAGGCTGTTGCTTGAGCTTTGCTCTTAGAGAGGTCGAGGGTTTCAGCTGACTCCTTCTGCTCCCACTTGCAGCATTTCAAAGAAAGCTTTGCTTCTGGGCTTGTTTCCATCTCTTCAGTGAAGGACTGGTTGTGCACTTCATGGAAAATATCCAGGCGCATCTTGGTACGCTTCTGTATGTTCAGGTAAATGCTCAGGTTGAAAAACATTACACTGATAAAAGGGGTGAAAAACTCCAGGGTAGAGGCTGTCATGAGAAAATACCAGTTGTAGAAAAACTCAGCGTAGCACTCCCCAGTGGGAATGATACTCCGGCCTGATATGTACTCCCAGCTGATAATGGCAGGTCCGTACAGCAGGAATGCCAACACCCACACCATCACCATCTTCAGCACTGCTTGCTTGGTGTTGCCTTGCTGGGCTCTGTAAGCGACCTGCAACAGGAAAACCTTTTCTTAAGGATGGTCACGCACCCCAACTGATTGAGGCTCCTCACAAATGAACCGGTGGCGTTCCTGGTAAAGTTGCTAGGCAATACCCCGGCAGTCTAACAAGCTCATATGCCTTAGGCAACAGGAGCAATTGCTAGATAAATCACACTCTTGCAGGGAAGATTTAGAATGCTCATTTTGCAGCTCCAACCTGTGGTGTCTTCTGAGTGGAAATGTACTGACTCGGTTGGAGCCTGGCAGTCGCCTGCACCCACCACTTGCCTGAGCTGTCCCCAGCTACTCCCTGTAACTCCCAGGGAGATGCATGCATCAAACTCCTGGGCAAAGCAGGCATTCCAGCTCTGGCTCCCTCTGAGCCTTGTAGCTACTCTGTGTTGTATTTGGAGTCAGGGAAGGAGCAAACAGGAATGGATCACATCTGCCTGTGGTGAACTGCTCGTTGCCTCCTGTGACGGGATGAGCATTTTCATCTCCCCACATACCCAGAGACCTCGGGGCTGTGCCCTGCCAAGGCTGGCACTGCAATCTACTGCCTTGGTAGCCAGGGAGAAGCTGTGAGTCTGACTGCAATCCACTTGTTCGTCCTGGAGATAATAAGCCCCTGCAAGTTAGTAACAGGTCTGCTTACCTCGCTGGCTCCCTTGTACACTACTATCCTGTCATCTGGGAAGGGAATGCCTGCACAATGGGGTCTGAGGCTTAAGTGATTTAATTATGCCAGGAATACTAATCTGAAACCACAGCTGAATTATGTATTTGTGGATAATTATTGCTTTCCATCACCAGGCTGAAAGATTCATAATTTCTGGAGGATTCAAAGAGCTTTTAATTATTGCAGGGAATCTGGAGAATAAGGCAGAAGGAGAGTTATTTCCCTCTCAGCTGCCATGACAGGACTCACCGCTCTTGTCACCGAGAGGAATCTGTCATAGCTAATTAGTACGATGTTGAAGACCGAAGAGGTGCAGAGCAGGTAATCAACTACCAGCCAGAGTTTGCAGAGGCTTCTCCCGAAGATCCATCTCCCCGTCAGCACATAGGGCACGTACAGGGGGATGCAGAAGGCACCTGCAACCGGACGGGTACGTTCCCGTTGAGAAGAGGGGTGTCTGCAGCGTGGGTGCCCCCGGGGAGAGCCGCAGGTGCCGCGCTGAGACCGCGGGACCCGCCGGGGAACGGCGGGAGGGGACCCCGGGACAGCAGGAGGGTGTCGGGGGACGGGAGCGGGGCACGGCCGAGGGGACCCGCGGTGCCGGTGGGGCAGGAGGGTGCCGGGGTGCCGGGCAGGAGGAGCCCCGGGCGCCGCTGCCCGTCCCGCCGCCGAGTTGCCCGCGATCCGTGCGGGGCCCCACGGGGGCGGCACTTTACCTACTAGGAAATCCGAGATGGCCAGGTTGAGGAGAAAGAAGTTGTTCTGGGTGCGCAGGCTGGAGTCCGCCACGAAGGCGAGCATCACCAGCGCGTTGCCGGCCACGGTGACGGCGATGAGCAGGGCCATGAGCGCGGCCAGCGCCGCCGTGCCCGCGGCCGCGAAGCGCCCGGCGGCGGCCGAGCCGTTCAGCGCCCCGCCGCTCTCCATGGCCCCGCCGCTCCGCCGCCGCGCCGTCGCCGCGGGGCTGCTGCCCCTCCTCGCCCCGCCCGCCTCCCGCCCCGCCGGCAGGACCGCCGCTCCGGCCCCCAGCATCCCCGAATCCCCCGGAGCATCCCTGCATCCCTACGGAGCATGCCTTAATTCCCCCAAGCATCCCTGAGTATCCTTGCGTTCTCCTTTGCCCTCTCAACACGGGAGCACTCTTGTATTACCCCAGAACGTTCCTACATTCCTCCAGAGCATCCCTGAATCCCTACACAGCAAATCTGAGCATCCCCACGTTCTTCCTTCCCCTCTCAATCCGGGAGCATCCTTGCTTTACCCCGGAACGTCCCTGCATCCCTGAATCTCTCCAGAACATCCCTGAATCCTCCAGACCATTCTCTCCCATTCCCCTTTCCCCTCTCAGCCTGGGAGCATCACTGCATTACCTCAGAGTATCCTTGCCCCCACCCACAGAACATCTCTACATTCCTCCTTCCCCTCTCAACTCAGGAGAATCCTTGAATTCTCCCAGAGCATCCTTGCATTTTGCACAGCAACGTTCCTGCATCTCCCCAAAGCATCCCCCACGATAGAGGCCAGGGAGAGTGCTTATGGTTCCTGCTGTGGGGTCTGTGCCTTAGTGAAGAGAAGCAGAGGTCAAGGCTTCACTTGCCTTTTAATCAGAGGCAGCCAGGAGGGCTCCCTGGGCAGGTGGAGTGTGGAGGGTGATGCTTTTGCCTGTGCCCCTCACGGGTGGCAGGAGGAAGATGCAGACCATGCCACTTGGTCTTCAAACCAGGGAGTCCTTGCTCCAAGCCCCAGCTCCAGGGAGGTGATTAATGATCCCTCCTCCCTCCACTTGTTCAGCTTTTCATGGCTGAAGATAATAACTTTTTTCTGAGTACTTGCTTTGGCTGGTGATACTGCAGGATGAAATTACCTACAACTGTACAACTCCTGCACACAATCCATGCTCCAGACCTCAGGAGTGGAAACGTCACGAGTGTCATGTCACTGGGCAGGATCAGCTCCACAATCAACACCTCTGGAGGTCGTCACAGGGATGTGCAGAGTAGCAGCATTGGAAACCAGAGAACGATATTGGCTGGAGCCCCGGCCAAGCACTCTTCTGGAGAAGTCTGGTAAGTTGTGTAAGTCTGTGAGGAACAGATAAAAAAGCAAAGCAAGAAAATTGTGCAAACCTAGAAAGATGCCCGAAGCTAATGCCCAGGGGGTTTGCCACCTTCTAATTACTCCAAAAGCTATTTTTACATCGGGAACTGCTACAGCCTCACTGCATTTCTCTTCAAACCCACTACAGCAGTCACTGTGTTGATAGCAGTGGCTGATCCTGCTGGGAGGAGGCTGAGAGGGCTCTCGGTCTCCGCTGCTGCCGCATCCTGACAGAGGATGTCACTGTGGGCTCGTGGGAGCCGCGGGTGGGAGAGCTGAGGATGCCGTGGAAACTCCTGGTCAGTGGGAGAACGGCTTCGAGGAACCTCATGCGTGGCTTCAGCGCTGCTTTGAGGATAATCAGATTTAACAAGGCACCTGGCTGCCTTCCCTGCAGGGTGGTGAGCAGCCTGTCTGGGCAGCCACAGCGGAGAGGACCTGAATTTTATGCCTGTCAGCACAGATGTGACGGAGAAACAGCTTTTGGATAACCCTCACGATGTTTAATGAACCCACGCACTGCTTTCATTGTGCAACTGTTTGTGATCTGGTTGGTGTATTTGTAATCTCTAGCCACTCAGTCAAACATTAGTATTCATTGAAACGTTTACAAATTCCAAATTGCTGTGTGCATGCTGCAGCGTTATCCCTAGGAGCTGTCTGCTGTTTCTTAGCTGCCATTAATTGTACAGAGTTTTCACTGCCTGGAGACAAAACCCATCCTTTGTGCCTAAGGTGATTTATAAAGTGATATAATGTAACGTGGACAAATCACAATTATTGTTTATCCAGAGCAAATTGCCAGGATTGTTAGATAAATAAAAGGTGGCAGAGCTGGTCCTGATGTTTCTCTCTTGCTTCAGCAGACAGGATAAATATATTTCTAATGTATTTCAGGAAACGTGCTAGCTTGGTAATAAAAGAAATCACCCAGCCTGAAGGGGTGGTTACAACAGGTCACATACAGACATGCAAGCAGATGGCAAGATAGCCAACGTTTGGACCTGGCTTATTCAGTACCTATGCCATGTAGATATTCCATGTGATCCTAAGTACTTATGTATTTCATATAGAGTGTATTCATCACCCTGCGGTCAGGCCATGGAGTCCTCTCCTTGGTTAAGAGGCTGCCACAGACTCAGATCCTTAATCCTTGTGGAAGTACAGGGGACAAAATTGGGTCTTTCCAGAGGGTCGGAGTTGCAGTTCAGCTCCAAGCTCTCCTGAGGCTGGTTTCTGTTTATTCCAAGGTTGTGCCTGTGAAACAGGGACTGAGGGTGACAGATCACAGAGTGGTTGAGGCTGGAAGGGACCTCCTGAGATTTCTTAGGCCAACTCCTCTGCTGAAGCAGGGTCAGATACAGCAGGTTGCCCAGGATTTGTCTGGTCAGGGTTTGAATATCTCCAACAAAGAAGACTCCATAACCTCTCCAGACAATCTGTTCCAGACTGCCCTCCCAGTCAAAATGTCTTCTTTTGCCTGCTTCCTTTCCGTACTGAAAAGCGCATGAGCTTGTCTGACATGAAGCTGCCAAGAACCTGGATTCTGTGGGGAAATCATAGGGGAAAAAAGCTTATAGATCAGTAAAAATAGATTCCAGTGCTGTTGGAGGGCTGCTTATTTTGAGTCCTTCCAACCTTCCGTGGAGGAATCTGCACTTTCGTACAGGTTTAGATATGTATCATTGCAATTCCACAGGGAAGACAGCTGTGTCCCGAAATCAAGGGTTATGGAGATCAGAAGACACATTAGCATCAGTAACCATTAATGGGGAAACGAGCTTTTTTGGCACCTTCTCTTCATCCTGTGGCTGTCCTTCCATTTCCATGGAGGCAGAGTTTCCACACTGAGGAGTTTGCCCTTCCAAGGGGCAGTGAGGATCTGCAGGGCTGAAGGCAGCACAAGCTCCAAACCTCCAGATGAGGTGCTGTTACTACTATGCACAAATCATAGTTTTTCCATTGCTTACTTCTGTCCCAGGGAGCCAGTTTGCCTGTGAAACAAACTTTAAAGAAAGAGATGATTAAAAAACCTCTTTGTGTTCACATCTTTACTGATGAGGGTTGAAAGTGCTTTGGCATTCGTACAAGTATCTGTCACTATGAAACCCGTCCCTTTGTTTCATTTCCTTTTCTTGCCTTTCATCGTGGGAAATGTTTATTCTGTTGGGAAAATTCCCTTTTTTGAGATCCCCTTGGAAGTTACCAGAACATGTGGGTGAGGGTAAGGGCAGATGGCAGAGAAAAGAGATTCCAGAGCTGCTGAGGGCAAAAGGAGCCCTTGAGCTCCTGCTTTGCCAGACCCCAAAGCTACAGCACAAACCCTCAGTATAAATATTTTACATGTAGCATCAGTGGGTAGGATACAGAAAATGCCAGGGGAGCATTTCTCATGCTGGAGATGCCTTTCCAGTGAAATGGTACTCTTTGATATATTTTTCTCTTTTAAAAACAAACTCAACAGCAACTTGTCTGTCCAAACTTTGGGAGCTATTAGGACTGAAAACCAGCATGGCAATCCAAGCCTGGATGGCACATGATGAAATCAGTTACTGGATGTGCTTCATCTGCTGCTCAGCCAGGTATTAAAACAGCTTCTGCTGGTGGCAGAATGTCTCCTCCTTACTATACTACAAGGGACATAATTGAGCAAGTCTGACGTCAGATAAAACCAATGATGATGACTGGATCTCCTTAAAAATGCTGAGAAATACCCTGTGAACCAGCTTTCACAAAGGTAGGGAAAGCACTAACATCTCCATTCTCAAAGCAGCACATGCTTAGAGCTGCCCTGAGCAGCACCAGTGGCTGCAAAGCCACCACATCCCTGAGAAGGACCACAAATACTGGAGGGGAATTGTCCCCATCTGGGCAAGTGTGTGTCCATCTGTGTTCAGAACAAGTCCTGTGACTTTTCACTCCTTTCTTTTCCTTCCTTCTTTTCTCTCCTTCCTTTCTTCTTTCTCTCTGTTTCCAGCTGTAACCTGTAAATCCAAACTCCCAAAGTGTCCAAAAATGCATCCTTTACTGCAGGGAGGCTGTTCATAGTCAAACCTGTCCCAAACTGCTGTGACTGTTTTTGAATTCCTGAGAACTAACTCCTTAAAGTTACAAATCACCTTGTCACCTGAGAAAGTCACATTTCTATCCTTGTGCAAACCAAAGCAGTTTTGTGAGCAGGAAAATGCTGAGTTTAGTGACTCTGGGGGAGGAAAACACCTCAGAGCAGGATGAGTAATACCATTAGTAATGAAGTAACTGTCTGATCAAACACCTGATTCTTGTCAAGGCCAACTCAATATTGTATTTTGAAATGAAAATTTCAGAGTACAAAGGGAATAAAACCAAAAGTCATCCTACATCTGTCAGCTTGGACTGAGTTGGTGGCTGCTGTTAAGACCAATACATGTTTTCAGAGAGACACAGCAGGGTCTGAATATCAAGACATGATATCCATGTGCAGCTGCTACCAACGATGCTGGAAGCATTTTACCACATGGAGAAGTGAATGTTAAAGCTCTCTTGAAAAAGTATCCATTAAAATTGGTATTCCATCAGGGGATGGCTTAAGAGGCAAGGCTGGGCTTTGTTCCTAATACTCTTAATGGCAGTGAGTGGTGTAGGTTATGAGTGACAAGAAGACATTTAAGAAGGACTAAAAAATTTCTAATTGAAGCCAGTGCAGTTCCCAGGCAGATGGAAAATAGAGCAGCTGTAGAGAAATGAGCTGTGGCACAGTGTGCTCCTTACCATTCCATCAAACTTTATAAAACTTCACAACACCAGGCAATTAGAGGGGTAGAGTTTAAGCCCACTTGTGGAGTCCACAGATTTCTTCAGAGCTACCACCAGGTTCTCATGTGAGGAGACCTACAAATGTCAGCTCCCTTGCTTCCTGCAGGGCCTCGGAGGCAGGGAACTCATTGGTAACCTTA